TGATCAACGTTCGCGACGCGGTTACACACTGGACCCTTTGAATAATATTCACGCGATCATGTGACTGCAGGTATGATCTCGAATTACCTAATATCATGGCCGTTGATCGCATCCACCTACTGCGTTGGTATGTTATTACAAAGGCGCGTTAGTTTGCTTTCAACTCTTCAGGTCGAAAGCGTAGTATGTTTTCTCAAAAGTCGGTTTGTAAAGAAAATTATGCTGATTTCCAAAACCTCAAAACGGCAATTTTTTTTTAGAAGATTCGCTAGAAACCAGTAAAAAGGATATTTCGATTAGGTCACAACCCTAATAATTACTTAGGTCTGCCTGATACCGGTACTCATTAAGTAGCGCACCGTAGATTATTGAGAGGAAATTATTGCAATTATTGCGGCATCAATTTATTTTCCGCAGGCAAATGACTTGCTTCTTTTTGTAATATCTAGCTTCTTGTCAATCTGTGTGAGAACTCCAAGCACAATCTGTCGTCTACCTGTTCTGTAGGTGATAGCTGCACGAAGGCGATCAGAAGCACCCTCTTGTTGTATCAGTAGGTGTTGGTCGTGTTCGGCAACCCCCCACTCGGCTATCGTTTCGGTCAAAATACCGCGCAGCCATTGCAATGCATCGCAAAGTGTCGAAACTTCGGTACACGCAGCTGCAGCTTCATTTTGGTTTCCATTTGGCGTCGTATCTGCGAGGAAGTTCGGTGGCAATATTTCCTCCAGCGAGCTCTGACGGTCGATACGGATCACTTGCTTCATCAAGCGCCACGGACCAGCACGATCCTTACCAATCTCGACGTCGACATAGTCCCACTCATTATCAGTCAGTGCAAAGCCATAGTCAAGCAGTAGCTGGAAGTTGGACCGGCGTCCGTACGAGTTGAACACCTCCGAGTCCTTCGCAAAGCTCGTGGTGGCCGACGGATAAAGTCGAAACAGTCCGCTGCCGTTCACGTCGAAGTCGTATTTGGTGGCAACAGTATTGTGGTTGAGGCAGTCTGCGAGCGGCACGAGAGCCGTCCAGGGAAGTCTCCGCCCAAACGTCCTCGCTTGGATCGTTTTCCATGCGAACTTAAACTTCTCAAAAGTGTAGAGCGTCTCGGGGAACTCCCCCGCGTACTTTTCCTGCAGTCTCGTCATCACCCGTCGGTAGTAGATATTGATCTCGGAGGATCGTCGCACCGCTGCACCCACGAGACGCTCATCGTGCAGCTCTCGAAGCTCGTCGTGTGTCCAGTCCTGTACGCTTTCAGGGGACGGCAGGATGGCTAGGTACGGATGGAAAAAGGAGCGCTGCTCCAATAACAGCTCGCGTACGATGAAGAGCGCCATTACAGGATCATCACGCGTGAAGACGTCGCGATTGCTCCTGAACACGGGGCCTAGCTGCGGGTCCTGCCAGCACATTTCCTCCGAAATGAGGAGGTGCCGAGGGATGCTGAGCATGGGCTCGTTCGTCGCAATGTCCTCCGTCGCCACGGCGCCACGCAATCCATTGGGCGTCGCCACTGGCCACTGCAACTTTGGGAACGTCGCGCCGTTGTCCTGCAGCCACTGCAGGAAGCGCAGCTCATCCGGCGAAGCCATGACCCTTTTTAACGGAATGGGTATTTTTTCACGTGAGAGTGCATCAAAGATTTTGTCCTTTTACCGGTATTTGATTGATGTAAGGGGTAAGCCATTTTGGAGTAGGTACTGTTGATGAAAACCTACATATATAGTCAATTTACTTTTGCTTCTCGTTTTGGTAAGCCTGTATTCCTTCCACCCACGAGCTCCAGGTGACCCCGTCTGGGCAGAATTGGCACGTGACTCCTAGTCTCGATACATCTTGTACATTGCGATACTCATCGTCGAAGAAGAGCATGTCCTTGTACGCCACTCCACTATGCTGCAAGAACTGATTAAAGTGCGCAGCTTTGCACGTCGGATAGACCTCCACAAAGCTCGCAATTTGGACATCTCGCCCTTAATATCCACCTCAATAAGTCGCATACATTCCTTCGCAGCCTCAATCTCCCCTGTACGCGACGCAATGGCAATCTTCGTCCCCTCGAACTGCGCGTCCGTCTCAAGGACTGTGAGCACCTTCTGCGGCTCTCCCATAGAACACGCCCGCTTTAAAGAAATAATTTTCTAAATTAAAGAAGACCTAATTTGACGAACTAGATTTATTCATTTCTAATGATTGCCACAACCAAACCACCCATGAACTGTCCTGCAGTGGGCCTCGGGGGAAAGAACCAGGAGCGCCACATATACTCGTCGAGGTAGGAGTCCAATTGATCTCTTTTCATGCCTCTCATTGACTTGATGTGTGTTTTGATTCGGGTCTCCCACAGGCCCTCTATCGTGTTCGTGTGGGTACCTGTGTTGGGATCTACAAAGTTCTCGGAATGGTTAACCCAACTATGAGAATAATTCATTGAAAGCATAGTCCTGTTGTTCTCCAGTGTGTGCTGCTTTCCTCCTCGGTCGCAGACGTAGCTAGCGAACATATCTGACATGACATGTGTCCTGCCTCACACAAAAATAAACTTGTTAGTAACGGAAAGTAGTAACGCAGATTTAAATACGTACCCCGGCTTAATAAATCGCTTAATTACGAGAAGTAAAGTCTCCTTTGTGCGTTTATCGTACACAATCCGCCCAAACCAACGCCCACTACCTCGTTCTACACCTCCAAAGAGCCAGAATTCCTCGTATCGCCGACCGCGGCGATACTTCTGTTTCTTGGCCAAGCTGGTTTCGTCAATTTCAACAACTTTGCCTTGGCCGCCAATCTACATACACGCAACAAAAGTTAAATACTATGGATACAGCAACATTACAGCAACATTAGAGCAACATTACCTTAAAATCAGCTTTGAGTAGCTCTTTCGAGCATGTTGCACGGCAATATGCGTACCAGTTTTGGACCGTCGCCTCCGTCACCCCAGCCAACTCAGCCGCATTGGCCTGTGGTAGACGCATGCACCACGCAAGTAGGAGCCGGACAGCGCTGCTCAGCTTAATCTTAGCGTCGTTGAAGAAGGAATTGGTCAGCATACCAATGGAATTCTCTTTTCCATCGGCATGCTGCTTGCGACGGCAACAGCGCCATCGCTTCCGCGCGAGGGAGAGGCGCATCGGCTGAAAACACAGGGGGCAGTGCTTGGCCTTGTCGATTAGCCCCACCTCCATGCACCAGTACACACACCGGGGCTCATCACATGTGACCTCCATCACCCTGTCCATAGCAAAAAGACTGGAGTCCTCGATGTGGTACTGGTACGGCGTACGAGGCTGGGTAGGGACTTCGGGGGCTGGAGCTGACATGGATTGAGGCTGCCTGTGACTGGGGAGAGAGACTGCAAAATGAGTTAAACTGTGTGGCAGTGGGGGCCGTAGCGGGCGTATTTTCAATTCGTATACTAAAACGAAGTGTAGTGGTTACGGGGAAGTGTTCAATTGGGCGGGAAAGCGGGCTTGTTTCCTGGTGAGTCTCGCGCCAAATCAATAAGTGCCAATAATATGGTACACACATGTAACATCGTTTGTTCAGATTTAATTTTATTTTCAGATTTAGAATTAATCTGTCAGATTTAGAAAAGCGGGCGTGGAGCCCCTTCTGCACTTCTGGCAGTCCCTCCCCATAGCGATCAAGGACCGTCCCTGGGTCGTCGGACTTGGTGAACGGACCGCCATTCAACACGGACACCAGAGCGTGTAGTCGAAATCGAACACCACGAGGCGGGGGACATGAGTCCACAGCTGTGACGACGCTGCATCATGTGCTGTTGGCTGTGATTCTCGCGCCATCCGCCCCGTTCCTTATGGTGTGAGCAATCGATTATGATGTGGCGAGAGATTTTGCGATCTTATGGCATCTGCATAAGCCTCTATGGTGATAGAAGAGACCTTCAAAAGAGTGCCATAGTTTCTCAGCTCTTGGAAACAGAACCCCATTCTTCAATTTACTTTGAAAGCAAAGCAACTAAAACCAAGTCAAAAGTATGCCGAAAGACCTCGCACCGGATAAAAACCGCTCTACTGAGAGCAAAGACCCCGAATTCGCTGCTCGGGTCTTTCGTAAATGGACCTACATTCCGCAACTCGTGGTCTTTGACCTCGACTTCACTATGTGGTTCCCGGCCATGGATGAGTTGCACAACGAAAAGATCACCAAGGACCCCATCACGGGTGACGTCACTGATGCCATTGGCTGGCAAGTCCACTTCTACCCGGAGATTCACGCAGTGCTGAGTGTATTGAAGACGGACCCTCAGTTCCGTAACACGAAGATCGGCGTGGCGTCACGTATGGAAGAGATTGAGACAGCGAAGAAGGTTCTGGGTCTGATGGACGTGACGCTGCGTGGTAAAGACGTCGAGCAAATGATCAAGAAGACGCTGGAAGACATCGCAGACTTCGTCACCATCTTCCCAGGCAGCAAAACGACGCATTTCAAGCAGCTGAAGGAGCAGAGCGGCATCGCGTTTGAAGACATGCTGTTCAATGACGACGATTTGGAGAACGTGCACGACGTGAGTGCACTGGGCGTGGTGTGCTCGTATTGCCCCGAAGGTCTTACAGTAGCGTCGTGGCTACAGGGTATGGAGGATTTCCAGTTGGCCAAGATGCAGCAGAGCGCGTAGGTACATGTAGAAGAACACGCAGCAGAATATGCACCAAATCTAGAGCTTCTTTTTTAGAATTTGGATGCCAATCTTTCTTATCGTTGCTACATGACGAAATTGTCGCTGATCCAGACACCGTCAATGTGCCAATGCGAGTATCCACCATAGAGGATAAGTGCGATCGCATTTTGAGCTTGAGCAACGGCTGCAACTCCAGTATTCTGAAGATTTGAACCAAATTTTAAGCTTACATTCGAAATTGTGGCGGTCCAAAAAGTCTTTTGGTTCATAAGCATTTCACTGCATTCTACTACTGTCCACTGACAATTACGGTAACTCGGCACTCGAGTTTAATCCAAGTCCTAAAAAAAACTTAATTTGAGCGAGTGCAGACTGGTACCGCTGAAGTAGCGATCGATGCGCTAATAGCCCCAATGTCGAGCCAGAACGGATCGTCATTTGAAAACCCTTCCAGACCAGTGAGAGGCTCTTCGCAATCGATCGTGAGAGGCTGGAATTCGTCCAGAAACTCCATAGTCAACGCGTGCTCAACGTCATCGATTTCTGCTGTTGCGTCACTGCCAACTGCTCGTTCAACTGGCTTTGAAGTCTCCGTCGGAATAGTAAAGTTGATGTTATCAACGGTGGTCGGCGAGCATGGGAACAGGGCATCAAGTTGATCGATGGTCATACTGGCGTCGCTACTCAGCTTGAGTTGCTTCTGCTTACGCCGCTCGATCTTCTGACGGTATTTCTGTGCGTGAGTCATTGCTTGTCTGGTCGAACGAGTGCCGACATAGTTTGCAATGATCTTCCACGGTCCTGAAGGGTACATCTCCAGAGCTTCGAGGAAGCGTTCGTGCTCCTCAGTGGTCCAGAGCAATCGACTGCGCTCGTTCATACGCTTCTTGGACTTTTCACGGGTGAGACGAGCACGACGTCGAGCTGCTGTCACCTTTTCAGCTGATCGTGGAGGAATCCGGATGAGTTGGTTTCCATCCTGAAAAAAACCGTTCTGTACGACGGAGGAGATTGTCATGGTGTTTGGGTTTTTGAAAGTGTGATGGCACTTTTTGGAGGTGTGTGCACTACGATGCGAAAACGAGAATGAGGATTTGACTTCAATGTGAAAGGCTAAACACGTTGGTGTTGGGGCGCTTCAACTGTAAGGATACGTTCGCGCCGTTGTTGGTGCGACCGATCGTCTTCAGAGTGGAAATTTTCCTGATACATTGCGGTGAGCACTTGATAGATGGGCGGAGTGAGGAACGGCATTGGGTGGGAAAGAAAGACCAGTCGATAATCGAAAAACCCGCATATTCGGCTGCTGTGGAGCGGGTGGGAGAGTTTATCAAGTGGGTTATGATCACTTTGTACATTTCCACCCGTGATGAGAGTTATGTCTTTTTCGGAGGGTAAGCATGGGAAGTGGCTTTTAACGGCTCTCGTCATAAAAAGGTCGAAATCGACTTGACACCGGCATTTGATTGAAAAACGGATTTTCCGATACAAAAGACAGGTGAAACTCACATGAGCTCCAACACCACTTGAATCAAAAGTGCACATAGCGATTCGAACGGCGGAGACGCCTCTGCGTCCCACGTACTGTACAGTATTGCGCGCGGCCGATCCTGAGCCTGGTCACATGTACAGCGACGACCGAACAAACTTGATTGAACGTCGCGGATATAGTACGAGGCCTGATTATGGTTAGACCAGCGGAGACTATTAATACACGTGATACCAATGTACCGGTACAGAAGCTCTGAAACTGAAAGAAGGTATTAAACGAGGTGGCTGTTGCTGGGGCCATTGCTGGCAGGGAACCCGAAAATATAATTTATATCAATTTCAAAGGACATCGAGAAATACATAACGCGCGGCAACCTAAGAACTCAGCAAATAAATAATTGGAGCGTGGACATTGCAAACGTAAATTATTAGTGAAATAAACTACCAAGCCTGGGTGAAGCCGCCTAAATGCAAGCATCCACGGTGGTGAAAGAAGAGAGTAGGTTTTGTTGGGGTGTTCCTGGAGTTGCAGAATGAGCTAGAATATGCGATTCGGAGGGCTCCAAACCAACCACAAACTGTAGGTAGCTGTTGTCCGGGAAAATAAAAGTTGGGTCGTCGTACACCAACTTCGTAAATACATATTTTGCTGAAGCATTTTTCGTAAATAAATTATTGATAGAAACAATAAACAGTAATTGGCAATAAATATATTTATCGGGTTCCGTGAAGTGGAGAAAGCACTGTATAGTTTGATAAACGCAAAATTAAATCTAACGACTCAGCTTCAACTATAACGTGTTCCAAGGCTCGTTTCCATCGACGTATTACATTCGAAGTCGTCGACTTCCAGCAAAAAACCGCCGTCTTGCGTGTAGGGCAACGGCTCGTCGTGGTCGATCTCGCTCGGATGGAAGTTGTCGAGGAACTCGAGCAGCACGGTATGCTCCGTGGCATCGAACACTGGAGTGGTCATGGGCTCCGGCATCGACGCTTCTCGAGTGTGAGAGCTAGAATCCTGGGACGACGATTCGGCGCTCTCGATGCTGTCTCTGTTCTCTTTGAGCTTGCGACGCTCGATCTTCTGACGGTACTTCTGGGCGTGCGTCATGGTTTGCCGGGTGGTTCGTGTGCCAACATGGTCAGCTATAATCTTCCACGGCCCAGACGGATAAAGCTCTAGCGCCTCGAGGAATCGGTCGTGCTCGTCGGTAGACCAAAGGAGAAGACTCCTCTCGCTGGGTAGGTCTTGATGACGAGAGCGTCGCCTCCTCTTGGATCCGTTACTCTCGTCGGCGCGAATGGGGATCCGGATCAGTTGTTGCTGGTCCTCGCTGTCCCCTTCGAATAATCCGCTCTGAACGACATCAGAAATCGTCATGCTGAAGAGGTACAGGGTTTGTAGGTAGTACGGATGGGTAGTGTTCAGGTCCACTGCCGTGTGTGTTGCTCACTGAAGTAAATGAAAAGTGAGATGAAATAAGCATGTGGTCTCGTGTTCAGAAGCTGTGCCGTGTTGCATTTTGCCAGACGTGCCCGACATGAGGTAGTGAGCGCTCAGGTGGAGAGTGTGGTGTCCTTTCCAAGCTGGTTCATCTGAAGATACAAGTCCCTGGCTATTATCCAGATTTATTTCTCGAAGCGAGTGGCACGCTGCACTATGTGCTGCACACCGCTGAATTGATCGGCAAACGTAGGACAAAGGAAAGGATGCACACACCGATTCGACACGCTGGTGACTAAGGGGATAATCACCCGGAGCAATTCGAGGCAAAATGGGTCAATTGTAACCAAGCTGATCATTTTTGACAGGGTGATTTGTTTTCAAATACAATTAAACCCATTCGTTACCGGTCTCTTTAGCATACCACATCATTGATATTTGTGTTGTTTCGATCGGCTAAGAAGTGGATTTTGGAACAGAAAAGTGGGCAGCTCATGTGGATCAAATGTACGGATCACGCGTTGAAGTTGGTCAGGCGAGTGTCGATTCTATTGCCGCTGCTAAAATAGCGGACGGCTTGCTGTTCAGGGCCAGCAATGCTGGCACCGTGACCTTTTGTGTGGCGTTCGTCTTGCTTCGTACGAGCTATGCACTTGCGCCTACAGCCCAACGAAAAACGGAACCCGGGCGGTTAGGTCAGCAAATCTTAATTACGATCTGTTAATCAGTCCTGCTGCTCGCAAGGAGACGCTGTGCAACCGTGTATATATTAATAATACCCCGCAGTACGTGCCGGGAGTGAGAAGGACGGCAGCTCGTGGCCGTGAGATCTCAGCTGAGGTGGCATCAACGAAAAAGTCTTGCATGAAAAATGCTTCAATTTGAGCTCCACTGGTTGATTGAGTCTTAGAACTAAGGCATGTTCTCAGGTTATTGAGCTCGGTAACACGTGGATCATTTTACGCAGCTGTTCTGGGCCACCATGTAGCTCCTTAGTTGTTTACTTGATCTCTTGGAGTGAAAAAAATTATATCAACAGAGTTTTATTGAAATTAGGACCGTCGTTTAAAAGCTGATACTAACGATATAATGGAGAAGGTTGCTGTCACGTGCAGACCTACTTGCACTGGACTACGGTCGCAGCACAAGCAAATAAAACGCGCTCCTCGTTTTCGAGAAGGTTTTTCAGGAAATTAGAAACTCTTGTCAGCTGGCTAAAAATACTTCAAGAAAGCTAGCTGTTTTGCATGGGGCAGAAATGATTTCGAGTGCACTGTGATGAATATCGAGTGCAGCTACAAAACGGTCGAGTCTTAGCTAGTGCTAACGCCCCAAAATGAACGAGCTAGCTCTTATCGCTGCGGCAATCTTGTCACAATAAAAAAAACACGTAGATGGACTCAACAAGTCGATGGCGAAGATATTCCCTACGCAGGATAATACAGTGGCAGAGAATTAATTAGTTCAAGGTAAAGAGCAGTGAACAGTTAATTAAGAGCACAGCCCGTCGATGAGATACGCCTTAAAGGTCCCTTTGCGTTGTAATTTGATCGTATCCCCCACTTTCGGCACCTCAACCATATTTTGCACTCGATAATACATCAAAGTGCACTCAAAGCCATCTCGTTTCCTTTGCATGTTCTATTAACAATTACTCCTCGCATCTACTGGTAGCTATCACCTGCATTTTTAGCTAGAAATGAACTCCCACCACTAAGACGCTGTCGTGCGAATACAAAAGAGGAGTTGTGTGCTCGATCTCGCTTGGTTGAAAGCTATTTACGAACTCCAAGAGCACTGAGAGCTCAGTGGCTTCATCTAGCAGACTAGTTGCTGCTTTAGCTGTCAGCGTTTCGGCTGATGGGCTGGTGAGCTCGTCTTCCGAAGACATATCGCAAGACGAATCGATGCTGTCCTTGCGGGGTTTCAACTTTCGTCGCTCGATCTTCTGTCGGTATTTCTGAGCATGTGTCATTGTCTGGCGTGCCGTTCGTGTCCCGATGTAGTCAGCGATCGCTTTCCAGGGCCCAGACGGATAGAGTTCCAACGCCTCGAGGAATCGGTCGTGCTCGTCGACCTTCCATAACTGTCGACTCCTCTCGGTCGGTGAGTCACGGCGCCGGGAACGCCGTCTTCGTTTCGACTGAGCAGCTTCAGCAGCTCGAGTTGGAAGTCGAATCAACTGTTTGTCTTTGACGTCTCCTACAAATAAGGCGCTCTTCACAGTCTCCGAAATTGTCATGTTGGGCGGCTATGGATTGTTGGTCGACTGGGACAATTCTAAACTGAGGACGGATGTGCTGGCCTGTTCAGAGCCTTGTTGTATTTTACCACACATGTGCATTGCGATCGGACGCTTGTCCATTCCAGCCGGAAATCCATATGTAAAAATTAGGTTTTAGTCGGTGACATATCCGAATGATTTACTAGTAGGCTTATCAAAGATATGTATTGTGGTTTTCAGCCTTTTTGCCGCCCGTTTTAGCTCCTCCTATCGGAGGGGCCCGATTTGTAAACCGGGCATCCGATAGGGCTCGGTGCACCTATATCGGGGCCTAAATAGGAGCGTTCACAAAGAATCAGTGGAGGGATTGTGCTCGTGAGGGCTGACTCCCCAGCGGACGGCCAAGAACAACAAGAACAACCAGGCGGAGGGGAGCGGGAACGAGACGCGAAGAACAAGACAAGCAACAATCCGGCGAATTGGAGAGCCCAACAGAGCGGACTAATAAACGTGCTGTTAAGGGAGACGCCGCGTTGATGGGCCGTGGGTCTTTTGAGAACAGGTACTGTGGTGTATAATGAAGATGCCTGCTGCTCCCTGCTTACTGTAATTTTGCCGATTGTACAGATCATAAGCAACCTACAGTCAAATCGCATACGCGGTTGTCTGCAATGGAGAAGCAGGTAAGTGGACCGTGTTGACGTTGATTCCTATAGTATGTGTTAATGCAATGTTGCTTGTTGTGTACCGTATAGACTCATGTAAATGGATATGAACTCACGGGCGCCGCATAGAGGCCCCCAATGCATTAACATGAACGGACGTGTGTAGAGCGACCATTGTGTTCCTCACATGCTGCACGTGGTGTTAGTTTGGGGACTCTGACATCTTGTCCAGTTGCTATTTCTGGGATAAATTGAGGACGAGCAGCCGACAGCTACGTCCTCGCTTCAGAGCGTTAGAGACTTATGATGATGACTTCTATTCTGATAATTCAATCCACTGACAAGTCTTTTTTTCATGCGTGTCTAGTGCAGCTACAAAACACTTCAAGAGTCTGACTTACTTCAATATTTGCGCTGTTAGTAGATCGTGCCTCTCGCTCCCCCGCTCTGTTACGATGGATAACACACCCGTTGCAGCCTTTGGCGAAGGTGTGGAGACAGCGGATACAGCACCTTGGGCTGTCAATGCCCTTGGTTCTCCTGGCGACGGGCCTCCGCCACTACCGTTAAGGGGGACTGCAATCTTGATCACACGGGTTGGAGAACCTTTAGGGAGGGCACGTGGTGGATGGCGAAGTAATGTGGAATTTGATATTGGCGAAGGATACGCGGTGTTTAAGGAAAAGTGCATCGCAAGATATGAAGCTCTAATTGCTGGACCAGAGGCACCGAAAAAACCGCTTGCTCTACCGGGAGATGTATCCATCTACTTCAAGCGAACCAAGAACGACCCTCAGGCAAAGTACGTTAAGTTGACGACTGCAAATTTTCTGTCTACACTGCAATACTGCTGGAAGCTGCTGACCGTAGAGGACTAACGACAACTCGGTGATTTTCGGTTTGAAGCTTTTCTGTATGTTCAGCGAGCTGCTCAACCAGAGCAACTTCACCGCGCCACAGCCCGTCGAATTGAGCAGGCACGCATGCAGCGAGTGGCTTACGAGACAGCAAATGCTATACAGTTTGGAGAAATTACCGCGCAGCACCTCGACGTCGTGAATGCTAGGAGACCGGAGGCCTCTCCGTTTGAGGTTCCGGCTGATAATACCACAGCACAGGCAATGGAATTGGATCGACAGCGTGAGTTGCTTCAGCCACAGGAGAATGCTGCACGAGACGCTACCCAAACAGCTTCAGTTAAAGTAAGGCTGGGTGGCATGTGGGTGCCTATGGAGGTTGGATATTTTGTCGCTTCGCCGAGCAATAGGTTTACCGGATCACGACATTTTTTCACGGGGTATATACCACGAGTTTACGCCTACACAACCGACTAACGGCGGGATGGACGATGATGACCACGCCGAAGACGAACCGATGTGATAGCTACAGATGCAAACCACTTGGTAGCAGAAAAACACAGTATATTCAACCAATATATCGTTACTCCATAGAATCACTTGTGTGCATTAGCTCATCAAACGTTTGCTGTCGTATCCAGGTCTCCATGTAGCCACAGTGCTGGAAGGTCCCGAAGCATCCTTTTTCCTCGTGGCGTGTACACGCACGCATAGCAACATCCAAAACTCGTTCCGGGTACAAGCGAAAAATTAGATTGGCATACTTTTGTAACCAACGCTTTAGGAGCCCAAAGCAAGGCTCTATAGGATTCAGTTGTGGACAATATGGCGGCAGGAAAATCAGTCGAGCGCCACACTGGTGAATTGCGTCTTGTAACTCAGGATACGCATGGATCTTGGCATTATACATAATCACAATAGAACGAGGTAATGGCCACGAGTTCAGATGCGGGATGATGTTCTTTACAAATGCAGCGTGAAACCTCTCTCTTGTGAACGTCCCCTCAGTTGATTCCCACGCGAAAAAACCGTGCACATCAATAGCAGCCAACATTGAGAGTCTTTTGCCCCGGCGAAATGGAAGCTTGACGACTGCACGAGTGTTTCTCTTCGACCAGCCATATCGCCGCTCAGCGTGACGCCCATCTTTTGCTGTCTCGTCCAAAAAAACGAGTTGCTCAGCAAACGAAAAAATAGGGAGCAACTTTGAACGGTAAGCTTCAATTTCTGCCGGCACCGCTTCTCGAGCTGCCTTTGACAGAACTTTTCGGCTGAGATTAAGATCAAAATTGAGGACTCTGCAAATTGTTGCTGTCGAGATCGTCTTAATATCTGGAAAGTTCTTGATAACAAACTCGCGAAGCTCTTCAATGTAGAAAGTCGGGTGTGCGTTAACGTAGGTTTCTACAGCGGATAAAACTTCAGGAGGCCATCGTGCAGTGGTCTGGCGAGGGTGGTCCTCGTTGACAACGCCCTTTTTCATGAAAAGAGCATACCAGCGTCGAAGTGTTCGCTGCTTTGGTCCGAACAGCTCGGACACGTAGGCGGTTAAGATGTTGTAGACGTGCATGAGAGCCACAGCACGCCACCGGAAGTCATCGCCGTAGGTCATCGAGAAGCTGCCAATGTACAAATGACCTGCACGATGAATGGTCTGCTGGTTGAACGCAAGCCACTTCGTTTTGCCGCTAAAAAGTGGCAAAAGTGGCAGTTGCGCTCTAAAGCTGAGCTCCATACACCTCACAAATCCTAATATCAGATCGTTTTTAACTTTGTATGTTCGCCAAATCGGGACCATTTGCTAAATCGTCTCGAGATCGAAGGTCTCTGCTTTGCCAAAATGGATGAAAACCACAATACAACTAAACAGTACAAAATCATCATTATGTTGGAGCTGGGCATGACCCGCTTGTATATTCGTTTAATGATCGCTCAATTTGGCTACACTCAGAGCTATTCAATCACTGTAGTTTTAAAAGATTTTTGGCTTCCTTTTAGAGATTACATCACGATGAGTTTCATTTGGTACTAAACATCCGGATGTTTTGGAACTCAAGGTTAGGTTTTATTAAATTGAAAATCTACTATAATCCATGAGGATAATACGTATCGGTATGAATACCAGCCGATTGGGCAAATCTCGTCATCTTTGTTTACAAACTGAACTTCATTTGAAAGCGTTAACAAAGCTGTAAAGGCAAAAATCTGGAAACGCCCGTGTTTTCTTTCACATAATTTATATGGTTAGTGCTAGTTTATATTAATTTTCATCGGTAACAAACTTGTGAACATACCCTCTACAATATATAAAAAAAACAAAAATAGCTGGCGTGAAAACTACATGTATGATGAACGAGCTAACCGATGTTGCGTACTATAGCTTGTAGTAGTTGGAAATCCAACATAGAACAGGATATAGCCACGACTAAAAGTCTTATGTATTTCCTGCGAGCACGAGCGCACATGTTATTTCGTCTTGTAGTCAGCAAACTCGATGTCCCCTTCTCACTCGCGGCACGTACTGCGGGGTAGACACGGTTGCACGGCGTTTCCTTGCGAGGCTGGTCTCCGAAAGGAAACCCGCATCTCGGAGCAAAACAGCAGGCTGATTAATTTATTATAGATTAACATATTATGTTAATCAGCCCTGCTGTTTTGCTACGATATTATCGTAATTAAGATTTGCTGACCTAACCCCCCGGGTTCCGTTTTTCGTTGGGAAGATGGGAGGCCTGCATAGCTCGTACGAAGCAAGACGAACGCCACACAAAAGGTCACGGTGCCAGCATTGCTGGCCCTGAACAGCAAGCCGTCCGCTATTTTAGCAGCGGCAATAGAATCGACACTCGCCTGACCAACTTCAACGCGTGATCCGTACATTTGATCCACATGAGCTGCCCACTTTTCTGTTCCAAAATCCACTTCTTTGCCGATCGAAACAACACAAATATCAATGATGTGGTATGCTAAAGAGACCGGTAACGAATGGGTTTAATTGTATTTGAAAACAAATCACCCTGCCAAAAATGATCAGCTTGGTTACAATTGACCCATTTTGCCCCGGGTGATTATCCCCTTAGTCACCAGCGTGTCGAATCGGTGTGTGCATCCTTTCCTTTGTCCTACGTTTGCCGATCAATTCAGCGGTGTGCAGCACATAGTGCAGCGTGCCACTCGCTTCGAGAAATAAATCTGGATAATAGCCAGGGACTTGTATCTTCAGATGAACCAGCTTGGAAAGGACACCACACTCTCCACCTGAGCGCTCACTACCTCATGTCGGGCACGTCTGGCAAAATGCAACACGGCACAGCTCCTGAACACGAGACCACATGCTTATTTCATCTCACTTCATTTGCTTCAGTGAGCAACACACACGGCAGTGGACCTGAACACTACCCATCCGTACTACCTACAAACCCTGTACCTCTTCAGCATGACGATTTCTGATGTCGTTCAGAGCGGATTATTCGAAGGGGACAGCGAGGACCAGCAACAACTGATCCGGATCCCCATTCGCGCCGACGAGAGTAACGGATCCAAGAGGAGGCGACGCTCTCGTCGTCAAGACCCACCCAGCGAGAGGAGTCTTCTCCTTTGGACTACCGACGAGCACGACCGATTCCTCGAGGCGCTAGAGCTTTATCCGTCTGGGCCGTGAATATTATAGCTGACCATGTTGGCACACGAACCACCCGGCAAACCATGACGCACGCCCAGAAGTACCGTCAGAAGATCGAGCGTCGCAAGCTCAAAGAGAACAGGGACAGCATCGAGAGCGCCGAATCGTCGTCCCAGGATTCTAGCTCTCACACTCGAGAAGCGTCGATGCCGGAGCCCATGACCACTCCAGTGTTCGATGCCACGGAGCATACCGTGCTGCTCGAGTTCCTCGACAACTTCCATCCGAGCGAGATCGACCACGACGAGCCATTGCCCTACACGCAAGACGGCGGTTTTTTGCTGGAAGTCGACGACTTCGAATGTAATACGTCGATGGAAACGAGCCATGGAACACGTTATAGTTGAAGCTGAGTCGTTAGATTTAATTTTGCGTTAATCAAACTATACAGTGCTTTCTCCACTTCACCAGCAATGGCCCCAGCAACAGTCACCTCGTTTAATACCTTCTTTCAGTTTCAGAGCTTCTGTACCGGTACATTGGTATCACTTCGATGGCTTTCGACACGAGTGTAGTCTCCGCTGGTCTAACCATAATCAGGCCTCGTACTATATCCGCGACGTTCAATCAAGTTTGTCCGGTCGTCGCTGTACATGTGACCAGGCTCAGGATCGGCCGCGCGCAATACTGTACAGTACGTGGGACGCAGAGGCGTCTCCGCCGTTCGAATCGCTATGTGCACTTTTGATTCAAGTGGTGTTGGAGCTCATGTGGAGCTCATGGGGTTTCACCTGTCTTTTGTATCGGAAAATCCATTTTTCAATCAAATGCCGGTGATGTACCCTTCAGGACCGTGGAAGATTATTGCAAGGTTCAATATGAAAAGCTATACCCAACGTGTTTAGCTCTTCATATTGAAGTCAAATCCTCATTCTCGTTTTTGTATCGTAGTTCACACACCTCCAAAATGTGCCAAGTGCATCGCTACGTCTCCAAACATTATGTCTATAGTGTGGGCAGTCATTCGTCTGTACTATTGTGCGTTCTATTCGAAATTTCCGCTAGCATACAGAATGCGTTTTGGCGCTAATACAGAATAATCCTCTGACTCGCCATCTTCATTCATGACAAGTGCGCGGAGTCTTCAGTGCGAGATGCGCTGTCACTTTAACTTCAACGTGTATCTGGTATCTTATTGGATAATAAAAAAGGTTTTCTTAATTTTGACCTCTAACAACGCAGCGTCGATTCGCCGTTCGCTTCGCGCCCTTTCTCCGAATCGTCCCGCTTCGGCAAATTGGGTACCATGGTATAGAATCAGATATGGCCATCTTGATTTCAAACTTAAATATCCCGGATAAGGTTTTTCATATTCTAACGATTCATTGCAGTAATTGGGCAACATGTAATGAATTAAGGGGCCTGTGACACTAGCTCCACATATTTCGCTGTAAGTGTCGCTACCGATACAGACTCCGCCGCCTTCACAAAGTCACTGGGGATCTTCTCGTCAACCATGAACGATCTTGCGTGGTCAACAGAGATGAAGTCACCTTTGCCAAGAACCGTAAGAAGGAGCGCTGCTTGAAGGAATGCCGTCTGCTTCTCATTGGCGCCAAACGTGCACTCTGGATTAATAGCCTCACACATTGTCAAGCGGTCTGAGCGAGTGAGCGCCACCGCGGTCGTGTTGATCTTCCCGCTGGCATCAGCACGAGCCAGGAAATCTTCAGCGAGTGTGATGTTTATCTCCATCGGGTCGTGGCCGAAGTAGATGTCGGTGCGCACCAGAGACGCGTCGTGTTCCGGTAGAACGTGTCGACCCAGATAGTCGAGTGAGAAGATCTCTGGCACTGGATTAACCTGGACGGTAGCCGTATCATTGGCGATGTTAAACACCTCCATCATCACGGCTTTCAGGTCAGCCTTGGCGATGTTCTGGCCATTGCGAGGCAGATATCCGTGGTTGGCAAGCGCGTTAAGTGCGGGGCATGGCGAGCGACGGAATGGCGCAGTGGTGTTGGGTACACTTGAGCCTTCAGTAGCAGAAGGCTTGTGGTATTCACCGACTTGTAGCTCTGCGGAGGAGTCACGGCAACCCTCACTTTGTGCTCGGACCGAAGCTGTGTCGGTAATGGCAAAGAAAGCGATGGCAGCTACGAACGTAGCGCGGAACATTGCAGTTGAGGAGGAAGTTATCCGTCGGGAGTCGAAGCGAATTGTTAAACGATCAAGAAACAAACTGGTCCACAATACAGCAAGGAATTGCAGCGACACCATCTTTGCTTTGCTGGTGGTCCAGATTGCGTTAGCTTTCTCGGTTAAGTAAAGTGGAATCACTAACGCAGCATCAATGAAAGGTACAGTTCTACTTTATTTACCTACCTGGAACTGCACATCTAGGGTGCGACTGATCGCGATTCACAGACTCTGTTCCATACCAAAGCACTTACACGTACGGCAAAAGGAGAAGTATCATGGAGTGTCCAAAGTTATATGTTTAATAGAATTCTTGTGAATGTTGCCATAAATAGTTTCGGATATGAATACGTCAGCGCATGACTGGCAAATCGAACGACCAAACTGGGAATGCCGGGCACCGGCTTCAGCAGCAACCAGTAGCACGGCGGTGATTACGGCTTGTCCTCACGTCAACAGACACGACATCGACCTGGTGATCGCTGATTAATTTTAATAAAAGTGAAAGTCCTACTTGGTGTTTTAAAAATGGGAACATCAACTGTACTATTTATGTGAGCATAATTGCTTAAAAATTCGCTGCTTTTTAATTGCCTGAACGAGCCATGCATTCCCAATCTTGGGTCCCAAGCCCCCATTAGAATTGATCTACCTTGAGAAGGGCTGTAGATGGTCCAGGTCTCGTGCTCTGAGCCGTTCTGCAGCAGAAATGATTTCGTACTTACGAATTTACTTTCTATAAATTTCCTCGAAACAGGATTTTTAAAGGATTTATCTAGAATTACGGTAAGACCAGGATTCGTCTTTATTATAACCCCCACATGTACTTCAAAGTAGTTACATGATGTACCAGGTTTCCCTGACCGTGCAGCAACCTACTTAAATCACGTATGTTAGGATAGATTAGCTACGGCATTTTAATAGTATTGTATGCTTTCACAACGCAGTGTGCATTAGTTCAGTTCAAGTTTGATTGGTTTACGAACGCGACGCTGTTCTAGCAACTTTCTATCCGCTTTCGCGTGCCTCAAATGCACCACTCATTCATGAAGCTAGAGCAACAAGCTCTGCCGACTTCGCCCCGAGCATTGCGACTGAAACGGGCTCCTTGGACTTCACAAAGTCCTTAGGAATTCGTTCGTCGATTAGGAACGCTTTCGCATGATCAACAGAAATGAAGTCACCTTCACCCAGCGCCTTCAGCAGCAGTGCCGCCTGCAAGAAAGATTTTTTCTTCTCGCTCTCCCCAAATGTACATTCTGGGTTAATGGTCTCACACAAGGTGGCACGATCCTTGCGAACCTGGGCGATCGCAGTAGTGTTGATCCTGCCATTACTGTCAGCCCGACTCAACACATCGCCAGCCAGTGTCATGTTCACCTCCATCGGGTCATGTCCAAAGTACGCGTCCGTGTGCACCAGTGACGCGTCATGTTCGGGAGCGTGATGCGTGCTTAAAAAGTCGAGTGAAAAGACGTCAGGGACTTGGCCAACTTGCGTCGTTGCCGTGTCGTTGGCCATGTTGAACACGCTCATGATCGCAGCCTTCAACGCGCCTTTCTCGATGTTCTGTCCGTTGCGAGGCAGATATCCTTGGTTTGCAAGGGCATTGAGTGCTGGGCATGGCGAGCGGTGAAACGTAGCAGTCGTGTTGGGCACACCTGAACCTTTAGCCGCAGAGGGTTTGTAGTATTCACCAACTTGTAGCTGTTCGATAATATGCCAGTACCCCTCGGTCGGTAGAGTTCCTCCCGCTTGGACCGGGGCGATGTCACTAAAAGCTGCCAAAGCCATGGAAGCGGCGAACGTGGCGCGCAGCATTGTTTATGATTGAAGCAGGACTGTGAGTGTCAGCGTCCAAGCAAATGAGTAAGTGATTGTGACATTGTGAAGCGAACCTGGCTCACAATGCCAGCCTTTACCAGCAATGATCAAAAGCAGGGATGTTGTTGATCATTTTAGTACCGGTACTACTTTCCCGGTGATACAGAAGTCCCCTGCAATAAGCGGAGAGGGTCGTCTGATAAATTTCCATAGGGATATTAAAGTAATCAGGTGATTTGCTCGCATTATCTAAATCAACGTGATCCGATATAACAGGGGTATCGGAAGTGCAAGCTACGCTTTTTCAGGGGGTTGTGAACACACTTCGAAGCAGTATATAACTTGCTCCTTAACCTATTGAACACGATTACAGTACAACTTACTACTACACTATTGAATTGTTTTTTTGTTAATTTAGAAATTGATTCCTTTAGCGTTTCGGTGGTGCTGCAAGTCCTGACTGTACAAGCAATCTCCGGATTTGTTTGCTGTATAACTCGTATGACAGGTCGAGAAGAAGTAGGGAGAGGAAGAAGACGTTACTTGTAGGCGTCAAAAGACGAAGTGAGTACTTTATTAGTATTAGGAAGCCACCAATAGCTGTACACCAGCTATTAGTGTCTGTATAGTTTAAGCCAGTCATACCGACTTAAACAGGACCTCCTAAATCTCATTATAATATTTTGGAGTGACTAAGGTCAAGGTAATCAAGCTGTTTAGAGGCTACTTCAACAGCTGGTACCTTTGAGTCACAGCCTGTGAGCCACCCTCAGGGAGGGTACAAACAAACCAGGCTATCCATGCACCGCTGACTTGAACCCTCCCGTAGTCATAGCGCTGGAAGCCAGCAATTTATTTCTATCTAAGGGTATTCTTGCAACGGGGTGGCTTAGCGACATGTACGTTCAAAATGGTACATCTACAAAGACAACATTGACAGCCACTAATAAAAGTAGTATTAAGCTTCCTTGTCTCTCTCATTTTTCGATTTTTATAAGTAGTGTCATAAGACGCCAGCCGAGCCTAAGCCAGCCCGTATCATGCTCAGCAATGCTGAGCACTTGCCATTTTGCTAGCATCATGCTACCCAAATGCAACATAACTACTACACCTTTGCCAGTCCAAATCGGCGACAGTGTAAAGCAAAGTGGAACGTCCCGTAATTATTTTTTTTAATTATTGAAATTTATTTTTCTACACCTTTGCCAATCCAAACTGGTGATAGTGTAAACCAAAACGGAGTGAAGTTGCCGAAGTAACATCTAAATTTGAGGAATAATTTTACAAAATTAGGTTTTAGAGCAATGTAGATTTAGTGTAGTGCAAACTGGCAAGAACGCGAGTGACACATCCAGCAATACGAGCTACGGGCTCGCTGCGGAATGAAGTACACACAAAGATGTAAGGGGGCGTGAACCTGCGTATGGGCGCCAGAACACGAGAGTGTGGGTGCACACAGTGACCTCTCAGCTTGTACAGCCTGCATAATCATCGATAGAGGGACCAAGACGGCCAGCAACCCGACTTCAGTAGACAGAGTACATCAAGGATCAGAGCTTTGGGCTGCGCTTGCAGATGTTAACCGGCCGTGGGGAATGGAAGGAGAGGGGTTGCAGCTCTGAGTTTGCGACTCAAAAACGGCGCTTCAGCGATTGACGTGCCATCAAGCGCTCGTGTTGGGGCTGCTTGCCTGGACGGTCAGCGTTAAGAAGAGTTCGTACACTTATAACAGCGTCCGGTGCGGGGCGCTCGTGGCTATAGCCAATGCACTAATGTAATGTACGTGGTGCATGTGCAGTACTGTAGAAGACAAGATACTCTTATCGAGGCGACCATCGAACAAGAAATACTTCATCATTTTGCTTTACACTAAATCCGTATTGGTCTGGATTAATTTTGGGGATTTCTAATTTTTTTAAAAAAATAAATTTCTAAATAAGGGACACTCCGTTTTGGTTTACACTACCCCCAGTTTGGATTGGCAAAGGTGTAGAAAAAACCTGTCATGCAAAGTTGATTTAGTGTAGTGCAAAACTTTACGTGCCGTACTCCATAGGTTCGCTACGAATAGCTGCCGCCACTGACAACGCACAGTGGCGCGCTATCTTGTTAACCAAGCGCAGATCCATACATGGCAAGCTATGCTCTGCAGCGTTTTTAAGCAGCTGCATCCGGCGCTCTGTTTTCTCTCCGTGTGAAGCAAGAAACATTTCGTCATGACTTAAGGCAAGATAAGCCTTAATGCGTGCTTTTAATACACTAAAAAAACCTGCCGCACAGTAAAATAGACACAAATGTTAGTACATGTGCACGCTATAATTGTCTGTAAAACGTTCCCTCAATCGGGTTACACATGGGGGAGTATGGCGCCAACCGCAACAGCTCCAAGTCCTCCTGCTCAGTAATCAGATCCTCAGTCTGGCTATGAGCAGGAGCGTTGTCTAAGACAATGACAACCGTCTTGCCAGCGAAGTGGTCGCGGTACACGTCGTGGCGCTTGACCGCCTCGTACACCGCGTCCACAAACGCAGCATTGACCTCCATTTTACTGCTGCCTCTCCGTTTAGTGTAGTGCACCAGGCCCACCTCTAGGTGACACGGCGCATTGCAGCTGCAGGTTCGCTCCTTTGGAGGGCGGGAGTTTGACAACAGCACGCTGGCTAATTGGAGCTCGGCCCTGTGTACGTTTGCAATACAAATTATTTCATCGTAATACACAATGAAAGACCCCCTGCGCTCATGAGCCAGCAATGCTTCACCAAACTCCCTCCTCTTTTCGATATTCACATCGTTGTTACATGTTTCTGGCTCAACTCGAACCTATGCAATAAACGCTTGCCATTAGTACAATACAAATAAAATATAAATTAAAATAGAGCTTATTACCTGTTTCACAGTATACAACTTGCCACACAATTTCTTACTTATTGTGGAGGTGCTGACACGAACTCCAAAGTCGTAGTGCAGCATCTCCTGCATCTGCACGAGCGTGTATTGGCAGTTATCCTCCAAATATTCTACGAGGGCCTCCTCCATCTCTGGCGTGCACTTAGTGCATGTCGCCCGCGCGCCGCCTCTCTTCTTGATGTCCGGGGTTCCTCGCTCGACGATAGTTCGAGCCGTTGTAGCTGGAATTCGGTTGCAATCGGCTACTAAGGCCCAGTCCTGCCCAGCCTTGTGTGCGTCGAGAACGCGTGTCTGGGCCGCGAGGCCATGCTTTGGTTCTGTTGGCATGATGCCAGAAGAAGAGGTTTTGATGCCGACCACCAGTTAGCTCTGCACTAAATCGCCATTGCTCTAAAGTCAATTTTTGAAAATAAAAATTAAAAAATTCTTTGTCACTTAAGTTACTTCACACCGCTTTGCTTTACACTGTCGCCGATTTGGACTGTAGTAGTAAGCGCCAGCTGGAATAATTGCTGCATTTCAGCAGCGTTACTGGCGCCGCCAGATCCAGCACGCTCTTGATCAGCCTAAAGCCGACCCAGTCATGGACATATCGAAAGCGACCAAGTTCTACAAGGTCGACCTCGCGGTATGGAGCATCGTCTGCTGGAATTTGATGCTACTCGGATATTTGCTAAGTGCTGGAGAGACACTGGCCCAGTCGATTATTATGCGTGTGGATACAGTGAGCCAGAGAAGGAAGACCCCGTAGCCGACGAGCTCCGCTGCTATGCTATCGTGCCAAGGGTACTAGTCTCATGCGGACATGCTGGACATTTCTCATAGTTAAGCACCTCAGAACAGTCTTTTTTTAATTTTGGTATTACATATTACGAGGGAGAGGTGTACAAGCTGCTAAGCCCAAATTTTGCACTGAATAAAGAATCGTGCTTGCCAACTGTACATGTATAATACTTCCTCTGTCCAGAAATATAAGGCCACATTTTTTTCAAATTAATTTTTAACGCTGACACAAGCTTTTACCAACTCTGATTCGTTCAAATGAACCACCAATAGGCGCGTAGCACGTTACAGTTTGATTTGTTGTAAAAGCTCTAGTGGTTCTCGAGATATGGACGTCTGAAGAAATCATTATTTCATTTTAGACCAGCAAAATGACTGTTTTTATGCCTCCAGACCTTACCAAGCGCAAGAATTTGACACAAAAAAAAGAGCGAGAGTACGCTCTGTCTCTAATAATGACAGTGCCAGACAAGACCTACGCCCACGTTTCGGCTCTCCTCGAGTGTTCGGAGCGCTCGTGATGCGGTGAAGAACGGCAAATTGTGCGATGTAGAGAGCGATAGGGAGGGGTGCAGTCGCAGGAAATCACTGGTAGACGGCAAATTTCCAGGAGAGCTCGCAGAGAAGATCGCACTTACGCCACTCCATCTGCGAACCAACATTCGAACTTTAGCGGAGCAGCTCGGTATTGCCAAATCTACGCTGCATGTGTACCTACAATCTGGGTTGTTTCGAATTCATCACGCTCGACTAAACCCTCAACTCACGGATGAACAGCGCGTCGCAAGAATGGACCTCGCTCTAAAGTTTGTGGAACCTTCTGCTCGTGGTGGATATGAATTTGACTCTCTTCTCAATTACGTGCATTTGGACAAAAAATGGTTTTTGTTTTAAACAGAAAGAGAACACCATCTATTACTTAGCTCCAGATGAGCCCGCTCCTGACATTACCGTGTACAGCAAAAACTCTGTGGTGAAGGTGATGTTTCTCGTCGCGGTAGGTGGCTGAGCAGAACACAGTCTGGGATGTCAAAATTGGCACATGGCCTTTCATGGTGTATTAATCTGCGGTGCGAAAGAGCAAGAGCAGAGCCGCTGGAACGCTTGAGCTCAAACATATACGGTGGATCGTGACATATACCGTGCTTGCCTGGTCCAGTCGGTCATCCCAGAGATCAAGCGACTATGGCCGTCTGGAAAGTGCGTCCGCCTTCAACAAGACAATGCAAGACCGCATGTCTTATTGGAAGACGTGGCCGTGATGGCAGCCTGTACTGGCGAAGGTTAGGACATGACCCTCACTGCTC